CAAGAGCAATGGCTATCAGAAAAGTGATTATCTTTAGGAAGTACCAACTAGGAGAGAATATGAGGGAATTTTTCCAAAGTCCTAGGAATGTCTATACTTTGATCCAGTTGATGGTTACATGTTTACATATGTGAGTAGTCATTAAGCTAGGAATATGAATTTATTTCTTGGCTAGTAACTAGGATTAAACTGCACTTAAATACATACACAGACACACGTCAAGCTTCTTCAGGGAAGTGATGAGATTTTATACATTTTTGTATTCCTATTAGTTGGCACTTAAATGATTTCTGGTAAGACTGACTCCAACCAGTAAACCGTGGATAGATTTTTAAAAGAAAAAAGTAGAGAACCACATAAGCAAAGGCACTGAGGCACCCATATATCATGATCCAAAGTCAGGATTTTCTGTGAACTTTGTTCTTAAGACTCTAAGATCTTCAACATCACTTTTCAGAAGAACAAGAACAAGAAAGAGGAGAAGGAAGAGGAGGAGGAGAAAGAAGAGAAGAGAAGGAAGAGAAGGGAGGAAGGGAGGGAAAGAGAGAGGAAGAAGAATAAGAGAAAGAGGAGGAGGAGAAGGAGGAAAAGGAAGAGGAGGAGGAGGAGGAGGAGGAAGAGTGAACTCCTAAATTTTTTTTTCCTTTGGTGCAAGGAAAACCCAGCATGTAATACTCCTTTCAAATAAGTTTAACAATACCAGGGTTTGCAACTAGCTTAACAAAGAAAATCATACAGATGAACTAACTCTGATCTGGAGCAGGCTATAACCACTCTCAAATGTCAGTTTCCTCAAGAAGGTAGAGGGTTAAATGGTCTCCAAAGTCCAATCAATCTCAAATTCTTCACTGTAGCTTTTTGGGGGTAAGAAATGAATGTATGGACCTTATAACCCACCTCTGAGAGGCTGAGGCAGGAAGTCAGGAAGTTTGAGCCCACTCTGGGCAACTTAGAGAGATCCTGTCTCAAAAAAAAAAATTTTTTTTTAAGTGCTAGGGATACAGCTTAGTGCTAAGGCCCTGGGTTCAATCCCCAGTACCCACCCCTAATCCCACAAAAACTCTACAAACACTGATACTATCATTTGCCAAGTAAAAAGCAGCCAAGGTAAAATATCTACCAAATTACTGAGAGCCAAGCCTTGAAATTGCTAAATTAGTTAATATCTCTCCTAGCAATTTTAAAGATATGGATTAGTGGGCCAGGGATTTAGCTCAGTGGTTCCGTTGCTTGCCTTGCAAGCACAAGGACCCGAGTTCGATCCCTGGTACCAAAAAAAAAAAAAAAAAGATATGGATTAGTGATTGCCTCAAAATTCTACAAGACTTTTCTGCAAGTTTAACTTCTATTGTGAGGAGAATTTCCTTAATATGAGGCTAAGAACTATAGTTCTATTATCAGTTTGTGGTCATGGGGCATGAGAATAATTTAGAAACTTCAAAGTTTTCGGAAAATGGGACAAAACTGAGATTATTTTATCTCCAACATTATGAAGCTATTAACCTTGGTATTGAGAGTTCAAACATGTAATGAGACAACTATGTGCAAACAAACAAATGGGGATTAAAAAGGTGGTAAGACAAATATGAACCTGCCTTTGAATTCAGGGAGACATAATTATTAAGGAACATAAGACACTGGGCGAGTGCACTCAAGCACACAGGAGACCTAAAAGGCAGAGTGTTGTGTCTTGAAAAATCGGTTGATTTTACAGCAAGACAAGAGAAGAAAAGGGATGTTAAGCAGTGGGGAGAACAGAGCAAAGGTTGAGTCAGGAAACAGTATGGTTCATTCAGTAAACTGCTCCTATTAGTAAAACCGGAGCTCGAGATTTATGGTGGGAGAAATACAGACAAGCTGGATGATGAAAGGCCTGGGAAAGGTAACAAGACTAAATTCTTTTTTTTTTTTTTTTGGTACCGGGGATCAAACTTGGGACCTTGTGCTTGCAAGGCAAGCGCCGGAACCACTGAGCTAAATCCCCGGCCCCAACAAGACTAAATTCTGCAGGTAAAGGAGAAGGATGGGTTTTCGGAAAGAAGCAATGAATAACCCTAGCACTCTGGAAGGCTGAGGGAGGAAAATCGCAAGTTTAGCCCTACCTGGGCATTTAGCAGACCCTGTCTCTCAAAATAAGAACTAAAAAAGGGCTGAAGATTAGCTCAGTGTGAAAAACTGGGTTCAATCCCTAATACTGAAACAAAACAAAATAATGAACAGATTTGCATCTCAGAAAAATTACCTTGGCAGTAGTGTAAGAGACTAAGGAACTGTCCAGTCACATTGTTAGAGTACAGTAAAGACTGGAATTCATGTCATGATTTCTTTTCTAGAAAATGCTTTCGTGCATCACATTTATGAATGTAGAATTCTGAATAATAATTCAAAAGACACTTTGGAGCCAGGCATGGTGGTGCATGCCTGTAGTCTCAGCACTTGGGAGTCTGAGGCAGGAGAACGGCAGTGAATGCAAAGCCAGCCTGGGCTACACAGTGAGTTCAAGGCCACCCTGAACAACACAGTGAGACCTGGTCTCAAAATAAATAAATAAATAAATAAATAAATAAATTCAAAAGACATTTTGATTCTGTCATTAACTATATAATAATGAAACTATAAAATTATTTTTATGGTTTCTCTGCCTCACAAGAAAAATATACCTATTAGATGTACATATGTTTGACAAAAAAAAACCAACTCTAGCTAAAGTCTGTGCCACAAAAAGAACACATACTGCCCCACCACAAAAAGACCCGCAAACTTCTCCAGGGGTCTAAAATCTTCCTTTTTCAAATTCAGGAAACAAATATGAAAGTAGAGCTAAGATTAATTTGTGTTTATATACTCAACATCTTTAACAGATTTTAACAATTTCCTTCGTCCTACATCTTTTCTTATGTTGTTGTTCTCCACCTGCCCTTACTCTTTTTCCTTCACTACTACAAACAGCTGGGAGTTGCAACATTGACAAAAAGCCTTAAAAATATTGTATATGTCACAAATTTTGCAGTGTTGAAAATATTTTAATTTTTGGACTTTTCTACTTTGCACCTGTCATGTCTACTCACTGAAACTGATTTAAGTAGCATAAAAAATACATTAAACAGCTTTCTACCATGTCTCTGCAACTCCCTCCTAAAGAGTCCTCCAAACATGGATAAGTTTGATGTGCATTCTTTAAGACTTGTTATGCTTACATAACAGAAGCATCATCAAAGAGTCAACATATAGTTAACAGCAAAACTCTACTGATTATTAATCTTTCATTAGTAATACAGAAGGTAGAGCAGGAGCATGCTTGGTTCCTGGTTATCACAACCCATGTCAATTACATTATCACTCAGGAGTTATAAAAAAAAAGAGCCAAATCCCAAGTACTTTTTGTATTTCTTCCTTAGCAGCATCACAATTTTGTTTATTTTATTTATTTATTGTTTTCTACTTCCTCTTGATGTAGGTTAAATGATTGCTGGAATCACTGTTCTTCCAATCTTGCGACATTCAGCAGATAATTATGTATTTGTTCACTGATCAATCTATGCTTACTTAGAAATCTTGAAAGCTCTTTTATAACAATTTTATTTATTTAAATTCCACTTAAGTCCGGGTTAGACACCCAAACTGATTAGCAAGATTTTCTAAAACACCTCTAACATTAGCCATCTTTGTTTTTTCCCCCAGTACTGGAGATTGAACCCAAGGCCTTTGAACTGAGCTACATTCCCAACCGTCTTTCAAAATTTTATTTAGAGAAAAGGTCTCAATAAATTGCCCAAGGTGGGCTGGAATCTTCGATCTTCCTTTCTCAGCCTCCCAAATCTATTAGCCATATTTAACAGTTTGCAGACGCTTTTGCAGAGATTAAGCTCTAGGGCTCCCAATTGCACATTGGAAGCTAAACTGGAAGTTATCCTTCTCCACAAAAGCTTTTCAAAGGAGAGAGGAGCAAGGACACTTTCTAGCCCTACTTGACTCTGCCTAACACTCAAGCAAGACTTCAGGGCAGATCTAGTAACGCGGGATCAGCAAAGCAAACCGCCTACGAGGAGAAGCCAAACCCACAGAGACTTCCCCAGCCTGACAGCCACCAGTTGCCGCGGACACTTGGACACTCGCCTCCACGGGGACTTATAGCCCACACGCCCACGCTCCCAGAGCTCCCGAGACCGGCGCGCCCCCACAGGGATCCCGGGGCGGAGGAAAGAAAACTGCTGAACAAACCCACTATTCCTCCAAGTAGGAAGCAACACGGATCAATCCCCGAACTAAGCACAAAGCCTAGAGTATCTAAGAGAGTAGGAGACCAGACTCAAAGCGGTGCTGGACAACTACAGTTCACGGGGCTGGCTCGGGAAGCCACTAAAGCCCCCTCGCGCCACCAAGAGACCCACGCCCACCAAGCCGCGCCCACACTGCCAGATCACGGAGTAGGGGCGACCCTAACTCGTCCTGTCGGCCCCAAAACGACTAGGGAAGGGACCATGCCCGGCTACCGCTCCCCTCTGAGCAACCCCAGCACAGACGCTAGTCTCCACTGTACCCCCCCAACGACCCTCAAGACAGCCGCCCTCCAGGACAGACACATCGTCCTAAGACCCCGAGACCCCCCCAAACAGACCTCTGTCCCTGGAATCCCGAGACTCCGCGGCTTTAGCCCAGGCATGTGGATCGGCCGCCCATCCCCACTTAGAGGAACCCCAAGACCCTAAGGCTCTGACCCCCAGCACTTAGGAACTTGCTCCTCTCACCTGTTCCTCTGCCCCCCAGAAGCCCGGACCCCGGGGTGAGGTTCCCTGGTCCCGGAACCCCACCACCCACCTCGACCCCGAAGCCCTGGGGCCCCCTTCCACGCACCCCCTACCCGAAGCCTACAGAGCCTCTGGACCCCTACACGCCGCCGCGCCCCCCGAACCTCTCACCCCGAGCCCGCGCAGCTCCGGAGCCGCCCCCGCCGGGAGCCCGCCCACCCCCACGCGGAGCCGCGCTCCAAGCTTCCTCACCTGGGCAGAGGTGAAGAGCGAGCGGACCCAGAGCCCCGAGGACGAGAGCGGGGTGGCGCGCGAGCGGCGGCCCAGGCCTGCGGTGCCGCGGCTCCGACCCCCGCGCGAGGAAGCGCCGTTGTGAGGAGAGCTCCACCGCTCCGCGCGCACCCGGGAGACCGAGCGCCGCCGTGCCCGCCTCTTCCCGCGAGATCCCAGCCACGGCGGGGGCGGGCCCGCGGGGGCTCCTCGAGTGACAGCCCGGCAGCCTATCGGCGGCGGAGGGGGAGGCGGGACTCGGAGCCCACGATGACCACTTGTAAAAGAGGAACGATGCTTCGCCCCGCCCTTTATCAATATACTTTGAGCAGAGTAGTAGCGACCTGCGGGAGTCAGAGGCGATGGACGTTCGCGGCAAGGTAGCTTGGGTGACTGGGTTTGGCTGGTGTTTGGTCCTGATCGGCCGCCGTAGATGCACGAGGTTTGGGGATGAAGTCGGTTTTAACGCTGGTGTCAACCGAGGCTCTCTTACCTTTAATTACAGTACTACCTGTAGTTCACTAGGAGCTCCCATCTCCCGGGTTAAAGGCGCACTCGCCTCCGGTTACCCCCGTCTACACGTCCATTTACTGTAGATGCCCCCTTCCCCCTCTTTCGGCCTCTTCCCTCTGCACTTCAAACAGGGCGACATTGTTAAGATGCCCATGTGTTCCAAGCTCCAACCCAGGACATCTGGGGCGACAAAAGACTGTTCTGATTCGTGCAAGTCTTCTAGAAGAGTAAAAAGTGAATCGCACTTGAGTCACCAACGTAGCAAATTCCAAAAAGTCGCGAAAAGTCGTGTCTTTGTGGACTCAGCGTCCAGTGGTGGTCAGCACACGCAGGGCGCTGAATAAATGGGAAAGGAATGAATGGAGACTGTGGTGTTTAAATATATGAAATCTAGGCTTTCCTAGCTCTTCCTGTATGACAGCCAATCCCTGTACACTCAAGCCCAGTCTCTTCATTATTATGCCTATCCTGTAGCCTTCATTCATTTTCCCTTCCTCTCCTTACCCACAGCAAAAAATGCCCTTTCTTCTCACCAAGGTTAACCCCTGCACCTGTGCACTGACTAGATCGCTGCCGTGCCCAGATTTAGTTTAGTCAGCTTGCCACATTATCAGTTTCTTTTCCTCAGTCCTTTCTCTCCCAAACACACTGTCTCCCCCATCTTGGAACAGAACAAAACCAAGCTGCCTCTTCCACCCACTCAGGCTGCCCTGTCTCTTTTCTTCTGAGAATCACGTTGCTTGAGAAACATTAAAGTATATTTTCTGTCTCCACTTTCTTATCTCTTGCTCTCCTTTCCCCCACTACAGTGTTGCTTTTGCCCACACAGTCTGCTGCTCTTTTGGTGGTTACAAAAGACGTCTTTCCTAACAGGCAAATAGTACGTTTTGGGATGTTTTCCCCCAATGACCTCTCTGCAGCCTATTGACAATGCTGCCTGTCTCCTCCTTTAGTACCTGCCTGACTCTGTTCTCTTGATTCCACAGCTACTCTTCTGACTTTTCAGTCTCCTTTCCTGGTTTGAAAACTGTTGCATATTGATGTCCTTATCTTATAGCCACACCTTGTGCATAATAAAAATATCCACACACGGTTGCACACTTTGAGTGCCAATAATTGGTTCAGACAAGCACTGTTAGAAGAGTCCAGAGAAAGGAGATGTGGCTGTAAGGTTTGAGCTGGGTGGTAACAGTAGATTGCCCATATAAATGCAGGGCAGAAACAGGCCTTTCAGAGAGAAATAACTTGAACACAGAGAAAGACACATGGGCTGAAACTGGCTCTGAGTTGGGGAGTTTGGTAGATAGATTCCAGCAGAAGAGTAGCTGGGAGGTAAGATCAGAAAGGAACCAAATAATAAAAGGCCTTAAATACCAGGCCAATCTGGTTCAATGTGATCTTGTATTAAGTGGTGAGCCAGGACCAATCCTAGCATTGTAGGGCCCATGAGGAGGCTACATAGGGAGATCCACCTATCAAATGTCTAAATATGTAAAAGTTATAAAACAAACTGTGAAATTTATATCCTTTTGTCTTGAAATATATACTTTGATAACTTGTAAGACCAGATTCAGATTTAGAATTCTGGGATGGGACTACTTGAAAGTTCCCTGCTGGGACAAAGCAAGTCAGGAAGAGCTGCTGATCCACCACACCCTACACAGAGCAGCCTCTCTCCTATGACTTCCTATAGCCAGTTTAGCCTCATGCTGCAAGGTGACCCCAGTCCAGGGACAGACCCTCCAACCTACACATCAGGCTCCATTTCCATTTCCCTCATCTCTGGGTTCAGGGATACACATCCTAGAATCCAGGGAGAAGCCCACACAGGTCCTAGAAGTGGGCTCAGAGCCTTTTGGGCAGGAATTCTGTACCCAGGAGCCAGCTCTGAAGTGGCAAAGTCTGCTGAGGTTGGCTCTGTGGGCACACATTCCTTGGCTCAATGGACGCCTATTCGGTATGTAGGAGTGTGGCAGAAGGGCCGGGGCAGAGCCTTTCAAAGGCACCGCCTCCTGCCTGCCACTGAAGATGGAACTAGCAGAGCCAGTGAATTTCTTAGTGATGACAAGTAGAGCTGATCTGTCTTGAAGATCTGATGTGTTTCTTTTGCTTCCTCCCTCCTTGGCTCTTACACTGGTGTCTTAATGGCAGGAATGTACTGGAAAGAGAACCCTATTTTTGACTCTTTTTCCTTGTGTGGCATCTTCTTTCCAATGCTCAGTTTCATAAATTAGATCATTCCATGATTCCCTTATTAATTAGGGTATCACAAATCTGAGTGTCTCTAAATGGGAGAAAACAGAAAAGCCACGAAATGCTCTCAGCTTAGACTAAAGCTTGGGACACTTACATTTGACTTCTAAATCAAAATGCTTTGAAAGTAGGGGCTTTCAAAGTGGCCCCACGTAGTAGACACACAGGCAGTGTGAATCTGAAAAGGCAGGACGCCACCACACACAGGGCACCCCTCTCGCCATCTGTCATTGTGGCATGTCTCACCATTCTGTGGCCTGACAGTCACGCTCTGTTCCTGCAACCTCTCCATCTGCTACCAAGTGCTCCCTTTCTCATATGTTGCACCAAGGAGCCAGAGCCACCTTGGCCTCTGTTTTGGAGATTCGATCTGGCATTCCACTCATGGGTCCTGTGTGTTTCTTAGTGGTGCTGCTGCTGATTTTAGTCTGAGGCTTTGATGCCTGTTTGATCCAAGCACCGAGGGCTACCTGCTGCCTCACTGTCACCATCTGGGGCTGGTCTGTGCCAAGCAGCAGCAGAACAGAACCAGCCTGCTTCATACTCAGGGCTGAGCATCTGCTGCCTGTATCCTGACCTATTCTAGCTGAGAACAATCAAATAGTTCTATCCCTGCCCAGAAGCCTGAGCAGCAGCCCCCTTTCTGGGCACACCTTGGGAACAGCTATTTCCTGGCCACTGCATATTCACATGGCCCACGGAAGACAGTATTGTTTACAAAGCTGGAAGACCGCCTGCCTCGAAAGCACAAGGACCCTAGTTCAATCCCCGGTACCAAAAACAAACAAACAAACATACAAAGCTGGAAGAAGAAATCTGGCTCTATCAGACCCGATTTCTACTGTGTCCTTTTAGAGTTTTGGGGAGTACCTATTTGATTAGGTTGAAAGACTGAAATTCTATGTGAATTACCCCAAGATTGAGGGAGCAGAATTCATCAGTCCACCTACTGACCCCTAACTAAACTCTTGACTTTGGTTTGGTTTTTGCAGCTAGCCACAAGGGGAAGAAGTCAATAGAATCGTGATGGCTTTAAAATGTGTCCAAACATTATCTGATATGCTTCCTCCCAAGAACTCGATCTGAATTCCTTTCCCCTGTGTCTGGCTATACCTAATGACTCACTGCCAGCGAATGACTTATGGTAGAAATGACTGTGTGTGACTTCCGAGACTGAGTTAAAGAGACAGTGCAGCTTCTTTCATGGTCTCTCTTTGATCACACCCTCTGGAGGAGCCAGCTATCATGCATAAGGCCATTCAAACAGAGCTCCACATGGGAAGAAATAGGCCTGTAGCCGACCCTGTCTTGAACACCTAAGTCCAGCCCCAGTGAAGCCTTCAAATGACTACAGCCCAGGACAATATTTTGGCAAAACTTCCTGAGAGACCCTGAGCCAGAACCATCCAGCTAAGCCTTTCTAAGATTCCACATGGCTGTGTTGAAGGCACTTTATTTGGGGGTCATTTGTTATGCAGCAATTGATAGCTAATACAAGAATATTGAGAGTAGTTCCATCTCCAACACCTGAAAAAAAATCTGAAAACTCACATCCTACTCACCATCAGGCAAAATATTACCTAAAGAGCAAAGAACAACTGATTAGCAGCCATAACTTTCTATGTATAAAATACAAGAGAGAGTGGAAGAAGTCATTTCTTGGTGAAAAACAAAGATCCCCGTGCTTTAAAATTCTGGTCCTTAGGACCATTACAGCAAGTGGAGATAACAGCAACTGTGGAGCCATTTAGAGGTAGTTAATAGCAGGTCTGGAGCTGCAGGAGAACCTTTTCTTCCCCAAAGCTTAGAGTGCTTCACAAACACTACTTTCAGCCAATCTTGAATGAAAGTATATGTTTTTGTGAAAGCAGAGGGGAAAAACATCCTCTTACCTATCTACATTAGCTGAGAATAAAAAGTTGAAACTCCATCTATAGGGACCTTATCCAAATAAAATTGGCATCCTGACAGCGTGAAGTGCCCATAGGAGAGCAGGGTATATTTGACAACAAGAAGATGGAAATTCTTTCTGAGTATGATACTAAATTTCCACAATCTTAACATTGGGAATTAAGATTCAGTGAGAGGAGCAATTTCCCTATTATACTAAAACTAATGAAATCCACATAAAAAGGAAACCTACCAAGGTAGCTGCATTGTATGTCTAATTTCATTAAGACCCATACAGAGGAGTCATACATACAAAGAGTCAAATAATTTACAAGTTAATCAAGAGATAACTTACAGCTAAGAAAATATATTTATCATATATTTGCATCTCTGTGGCTCAAATCACCATAACATGGATATGTTGTAGATAACCTACTTCATTTAGCAGTGAGGGCAAAAATTTAAGTTTTTGAGCCATAGTATGCAAGAGAATACCTTAGTTCTCCACCTTTCCCTCAATCGTTCCCCAACAAATATAATCAACAAATAGTTATTGGATGCCTGCTAAGTGCCAGGCATTGTGAAGAATGAAAGTATAAACTGTAGTTCCTGTCAGAAACAGGAGGAAAAATAAAGCAGATAGAAAGAGACAAACAGAGGAAAAATTTCCAACCCTGAAACCCTTGGTGGGGTCAGCTCCCCCGAACTGCATGAAAGCGAGACCAGAAAATAAAAGGACAAAGGGCAGAGGTCTAAACAAACTTAATAAACTAAGTAAACTGAGAGCCAGGTAGAGATAAGCCTTGAGGAAAATTAGAGCTGCAAAAGCCAAAGAACTGATAAAATCCAGTGGTGAAAGGAAGTCGGGCAAAGCAGCCACCAGAGGCAAACCTGCATTTTTCCACATTCTCTGCCCCAAAGAGCTGTGTATAAGCTTTTAGATCCAGACACTTCCTTGGAATCCTCTTGCCCTCCTCCTCTAGTGAGGCCTTTTCTCTGTTCTTTCTAATAAAGCACACACCCAATCATTCATTCTCCTCTGCCTGCTGTTCTGTCGTGTCCTTCTGCGCTGCCTCCAAACAGAACACAGAAAGGGAGAGAGAAGGTTACAAAAGGACCATGAGTTGTGTGATTCCCAAGAGGACAACTGAGCTACTGTTACCAGAAGCAGTTAGGGATTAGCCATGCCCTGATGAACTAGATGAAGCATCAAAGCCATATAAACTCAGTCAGAATCAGAGGGGTACAAAACCTTGCATGTAGTAAATCATTTTTACTTAATCCACTTTGGATCAGCCTTGGATCTGGAAGAATTCTAACACCTGTGGCCAGTGACTGTCATACAGAGAGAGTGAGATACAAGCCATACTCTCAGAATGGGTCAGAATCTGATAAACAGAAGAGCACAGGATGCTTCTGGATGGAGCCAACAATGTGAACAAAAGCTTAAGGTCCACGAGTAAAAACATCTGGCAGAGAAAACAACTCGCTGCAGAGTCAGTGAATACAGAATTATAGGCCAGGATCTGATTACAGGAGGGCTTGAGGGCCAGGAGGGCCTGGACTTTATTCTGTAGCCAACTTAAAAGTGACTTGGTTATTGTTTGGGGAAGATTAATCCAGAATGACTTCCCAAGTTGAAGTGGGGACAGCTCAGGCATGAGGCAGGGCAAAACCAAAGAACAGATTCCACCCAAAATGAGCAACCTCAACAGTACCACTTAGTGACCACTCAGCAAGGCAGAGCTAATCCATGTTTGATTACCAAAAAGTAGTGGAATTCTTGATGAAGTTTTGATTCAGAAATGTAGTACTTAAGCTGGACTTGGTGGTGCACACCTGTAAAGCCAGCACTTGAGAGGCAGAGGCAGGACAATTGCTGCAAGTTCAAGGCCAGGTGGACTATACAATGAATTCAAGGCCACCCTGGACTACATAGAGAGACCCTGTCTCAAAAAAGAAAAGAAATATAGTACTTAAGATTGGTCATGTACATATTCCACAGATCTTTACTATGAGTCCAGCATTGATGGATGCCTGATACAGAACAGTAGATAAGACTGCTATGAAGACTGAAGTCAATCAAGTATACTTCCATGAAACCAGTGATGAAGCATAACCATGGTAAATAATAAGAAAATGATTGGGTACAATGAAACCATGTATCAGGGGCCCCATCCCAGTCCTATTAGGTCCCTGACAGTAAGGAAGGCTTCCCAGAAGAAGTAACATCTATCATGAGTCCTGAAGCGGGAGTAGGAGTTAACATGGTGGAAGGGGTTGATGAGTAGTACTCCCTAGTGGAATCATGCTAAGATTAGCTGGTATTTTGATCAAAGAGCTGATAACATTTCAATGTGGCTTTCATCCAGTGATGCAGAGCCTGAAGAGTTGAGTAGGAGACAGGATATGCAGGGTTCTATGTAGTCTTATCTTTTTGTTGTTGATGGTGGTGGTTTTTTAAAGGCCTCCCTATGTATTCCAGGTTCACTTCAAACTCACCATGTAGCCCTGGCTGGCTTTGAGCTCACAATGCTCCTGGCTCAGCCTCCTGAGTTCTGGGATTACTAGAATGCACCGTGCCAGTTTGTACTCTTATCCTAAAAGCCATGTTAGCATGTTATTCTGAGGTTGATCAATTCCTTCCTCTGTTTTCATGACAAAAAGGGGCCAACGTCATGCATATTCCAAGTGGCTGGTCAACAGATGGTGTGACTGTAAGGTTTTAGAGAAGGTCTTTTGCTTTGAAAATATCCCTTCTGCTTGCAAATTGATGTCGAAAATTTTTTGAGCAGAGAATCATTTCATACAACAATGAAGCTCAAATGGCAAATGCTAATTCTTCTAGGAAATGCAACACAGCAACATACATTTGCACAAACACACAAACAACTGGTAGCTGAACTTGCCAAGAACAGGTTTTGAGGTCCCAGAGAGTTGGGGAGCAGGAAGAAGAAAAGTCACAGAGAGGGGGAAGAGTTCCATAAATGAGAGACTACCTAGTGCAAACTATGTGCTTGACAGATATTTGTGTGAAGAAAGAAGAAAGAAATCTCGTAAATTTATCAAGGCTGGTCTTCTATTTTAGGCAAGCAATTTGGCTCTTTTTTTCCTAAGCCCACACATAGAATGTGTAGTTGGCCCTCTGTATCCTCACATTCCACATCCATGGATTCAACCACCCTTGGATTGAACATTTATGGAAAAAAAGATTGTATATGTCCTGAACATGTACAGACTAATTTTTTCTTGTTAAACAATGCACCATAATGATACTGACTCCTTTTATATTGTATTACATATTATAAGCAATCCAGGGATGATTTAAAGTATATGGAAAGTTGCAAACCTATGGCACGCATGCCACAGCAGGCTGTTCGTGTCATTATTGAAAGCTCTGAAGGGGTTTGCCATCACTGGAAGAGGTTATTTGCAAACACTGTGACATTTTATAGAAGGGACTTGAGCATCCGTGGATTTTGGTATCCATGGGGGCTCCCGGAAACAACTCCCCATGGATATTGAGCAATGATTGTTGGCTTACTCATTTTCTCATCACTAGGACACAAGAACTGACATCCACAACTCGAAGAGGAAGAGGTTTATTTTGGCTCACAGTTTGTAGAGGTTTCAGTCCATAGTCCGCTGGCACTGGGGCAGGGAGGCAAGGCAGAGGAGCACAGTAGAGGAGAAGCTGCTCATGGCATGGCAGACAGGAAGCATAGAGAAAAGAGGAAGCGTGGAGGGAGATAAACCTTTCTGAGTCACCGCCCCCCCCCCAGTGACTCACCTCTTCCAACCAGATCCTACCTCCTAACCCCAAGTCACTCATAAGCCCCCATGATCCAATATCTTTCAAAAGGCCTACCTGTGAGCAATGAGGCTTTGAGGGGACATCTAGACATAAACCCATGACAACCACATTAGGAAGACTAAGGCCAAGGAAAGCAGGGAACAGAGCACAGATGTCCTTTCTGGAAATTACCAGGGTGCATATTTCATAACTTGTGATCCTGGGGCTATAAGATAAGACTTCAGCTTTGCCTCCCAATGAGGAAATTGTTCAACTTTTTGTCAGGAAGCCTGGGAAACTGGAGGCACTGCAGGCATCTTGGGAGGCCAATGGGCAGGGAACTGTGGGAAGACACTACATTTTTATCCTTGCAGAGATGAGGCCCAGTATCTTCTGACATTTCTTTAAAAGCCCCTGGAACAAACTCTTCATTAGCAACCTCCAGAGGTTCTGTTTGAGCAGCGAAATGGAATCATTATTATTGATCAAGAGTCACCTGTACCTGTAGACATTTTCATGTAAGTTAGGGCAGAAAAGCCCAAGAAAAACTGCTTTTGTATAGGAAAGAATAGTTCTTTTTTCTTTCCATGCCATACAAAAGACAAACCTTCTGTTTTCCTTGTGCACATTTCAACTAAATATGTATCTTTGCCATATTCTTATAAGCCTCTGCTGTCAGAATAAAAATACTTCTGGAATCACTGAGTAAATGTGCTGTGTTAATTGTAACTTGACCTTTAACTGATTTCAAATTACCAACAGGGAAACAGTAAGTTGCCTTAATTAAAGCATTATCTTCATTAAAGACTATTAGATGGAAAAGAGAAGGGCTCCCCTAAAATCAGCAGGTACTCCGTGGCAGAATCAACCCCAGCATTGGGAAGAGCTTGTGATTGAAGGATCTAAAGTTGAATTCAGTGATTGGATAGTTCTGCAAAATATGAACCATGTTAACAATGATTCCTTCTCCCTGGTGTGTTCAGAAAGATTGTTTCCATGGTGATCTACATTGTTTTGTCTAAATTTTCCCCTATGCTGTTTTTTTCTTTTTCCTCCTCCATGTAAGTATTTTCAAAAGCACCTATCACTTGGGTATCTCTTCTCTGAACAAGTCCCCAGGAGGGGAAAAAGAAGATTTCTTGCAAGAAATGAAACACTGTCACTTGTCAGAAAAACTCCAATTTGCAAGAACATGTAGGGCTGGAGGTTCTCCCCAGAAAGCCTCCCCCTGGGATCCAGGTAGTAGGAAGACAACAGCCCAAGTCCACAATGTCTGCCACTTCTAAGATGTCACCTCAGGAGTCTAAAGCTTTGTAGACTGGAGAGAATGAAGCTGGAGTGGGAGAAGTGGGCTGGATCTGGAGGAGATGTCTCACTGGGTGTGGTGGCGCCCATTTTAATCCCAGCACTTGGAAGGCTAATGAAGGAGGATTGCCACTAGTTTGAGGCCAGCCTAGGCTACATATAGAGTTCAAGGCCAGCCTGGAATACATGGCAAGATCCTGTCTCAAAATAAAACCCCACCTCACAGCAGAGACAGTATTAGTTGCACCCCAGGGCATTTCCTTTTCTCCTGGCATTTGGAAAGATCACATTTTCTCTTGAAGGCCAGGTACCAGTTCTAGCCAGTAATGAGGGCAGAAGCAATGGCTGGCACTTCTTGGCCTGGCCCTAAAACCTCCTGAGACATCCTTTGCTACTTCATCTACTCATTGCCCCCCTAATCTACTGGGTGGCTGGAGACAGAGGAACCAGTTAAGGCTTCTGAGGTCTTAGAAGATGGAGGAATCACTATATGGAAGGAATATGTCCCCAAGTCACCAGAGAGTAGATTGCTGGACACCTGAACTGAGGCAAGTGAGACAGAAACCTAGTGTTATATTAAGCTACTGAGATTTGGAATTGTCACAGCAGTTGACCTACCCTGGCATCAATTAGTGAGCTATCCAGCTTTCTAGGTAGAGCCAGCAATAGATGGTAACAGGAAGTCGATGCAAGAAAACAAAGTACAATGATTAGAGGTGAGATGGGCAGGTAATGGGTCCGAACCCAGACAGGAAGTCAGGATTTCTAAGGTAATTGCAGCAGCCTTAGTCTGATGTTAGCCAAGAATGACAATGGAGAGTCTTGAGGTCTAAGAACTGGGGCTCTCACTGGATTCCAGCTGCCCTGGGAGCATAGTCTACACTGCAGGTAAAGACTGGGCCTCTATTCTGGAGGAAACAACTGGAACATGTGGAAAGGAATTGGATAGGGCAGGAGTTCAAGCAAAAGGATAAGACATGGGACTGGTGACTTGGACTATGGCACAAGCAGAAGCTTGGACACAGCAGAATAAGACAAAGATCTCTTCCTTGGCCCATCGACCATATCAGGGATCAGAAGTAGCAGGCACAGCATGGGACTCTGTGTCAATTCTCTGGCGTAATTGTCCTCAAGGAAGGGTTGGTTTATGGCATATACAAGAAGTTGCAGAGTGGCCTTGGCAGCGATAATTGAATGGGACAGCAAGGCCAGAAGCAAAGCCAGTCAGCACTGTGGACCTCAGGAAATCAGAGCTCAGGAAGGAGACATGGGCCCAGAGGCCATCTGTGGGTAAGATAGTGAGAGGCCTGGGATAAGATTTTAGAGGAGTGAGAATCAGTAAGAGAAGAAGAGTCAGCAAGGATGTTCTGATGGCCAGCATGCTGCCCTCTCTTAGCAGTCAGGTGGACCTCAAGGATGGCAATGAGGGGAGACAAGAATGGCTTTGATGAGTCATGAGGTCAGGCAGTGCCTGGCACCAATCAGGAAGGAAGGACACTAGCTACTCCATCCTCCTGCCTCGCTGGCAGCATTGTGAACGAACTGTGTGTCAGTAAGGCCTGGCTTTCCCTGATCATCACTGTAACTTATATCTTCCCACTCAGCCAGCAGGAGCTGGAATTTTCATTCTAGCTGTAGGCACTGGACAGTTGTCTGCTATTTAGGCACCCATAAAAGAGTTTTTACAGGCGATGAGCTATGAGGTCGTTAACATTTACATTCTGCCCCCATGCCTAGGAGTCTGGCTTGCTGTGTGCAAAGGCTAAGAGTTCTGCAGGTTGATCATTATGGGATGTACTGTATTTTATTGGGAGAAGTAGTTAGCAGCTCTTGGGATAATTAACCTCTCATCCAGAGATCAGAGTGACCAGGGATGACACAGGCATATGGAGTTGAACAAAATGGTTAGTTAAGTCCAGGATTTGGGTAAATTTTCCCCTCCAAGGGTCTCCTTCTGGACTGAGATTTCATCAATTGTAGGAAGAATCTATACAATATTCTTTCATGTAAGAGAGCTAAGAGCTTT